AGCTTACACCGTGAATGGCCTGTAGTATGGCCTGTAGGGGGCTTAGAGGTTTTGTAATGCAGTGTGGCCATTCAAAATGAGATTTCACTAAAAATGCAGGGTTTCCAAGCTGGGTCTGTCTGCTCTGGGGTTTGGGGTTCACAGGAACAAAACAGCGCTGTGGTGCCGCAGAGGGCAAGTCTGTTCTGGTCACAGAACGTGCTGGAGATGGCTTGGTTACAGGAGCCACGTAGCTGAAGGCCCCACAGAGAGCCCTGGAGTGAACAGGCATTGCCCCCTCGACCCCACGGGCTTTTTCTTCCCTGACCTGCTGTCCAGAGCCCTAGGGACCACGCTGCGTGGAGGCCCCCCAGGCCAGGGGTGAGGCCACGGGCCGTCTGGCTGCATGGGCCTCTGGGGAAGTCCTGCCTGGCGGGTCCTGTTTGCTCTGCCTGGAGCCCAGAGGAAGGGGACAGGAGGGAGGGAGAGTTTTTAGGTGAGTGGCTGTTACGGGGACATCCTTCTGCACCTGAATCTGGGGAAAACCCTGTGGACACCCTGGGGGCCGTCCTGGGCACTAGGTCCTGATTCTGAAGAAAAGAAAAGTCAGGTCCTCAGAGCAAAGGGCCTAGGGTCTGGGAGGAAGGAAAGCTAGTTGTTTTCGCATCCTGATAGCCGGGGGTCCTTGCTGTGGGCGGGTGGGATACAGTAGCAGAGAAGGATGCTGACCAAGACAATATTGGATGGTGGTGTTTTCTGGCCAAAATGTCAAGCATCCTTGTGCAAGACCTCAGATGCATCCCAGTGGAGGGGGATCTGCAGAAACCTGACCCCCCCCCGCCCACGCCCATGTTGTGCAAGGCGGCACCTGCCTCTCTCAGAGGCCCCTGGGGGGTGGGGCATGGGAAGTAAAGGAGAGATGTGGGGGCTGGGGAGGCGGTGCTGTGGTTGAATGGGGAGCACAGTGCCGTCTGAAGAGGCCAGGGTCTTGTGTGGGTGTCCGGAATGGTCAGATCACGTGAATTTTTTTTTTTCTCTAAGAGCCGAGTCTGCATTTTTAGGTGAAATCTCATTTTGAAATGGCGGCAGCTAATGAAAAAAAATCTCCAAAAAGGCCACCTCACCCTACAGGCCACAAAACAGGCCTGGTCTCTAGGGGGAGGCCAATAGCTTTAAAAAAAAAAAAAAAACCATTGTGGTGAAATATACAGATTACAATATTGATCCCTGTAACCATTTGTAAGCGAAACCTTCAGTGGCATTAAATCTCTCAGTGTGGTACCATCATTGTTACCACTATCACTTTTTAGGATATTTTTATTTTTCAAAACAGAGGCTGTGTCCTCATTAAATAGTAACCCCCACCCGCCCACCGTCCTCTCCCACGGCCTCTGGTAACCTGTGTTCTTCTCTCTGTGTCTGAATTTGCCAATTCTGTGTACCTTGGACTTGTGTGCTGCGGAAGGCAGGGTGGGGGAAGGGAAGACAAGCCCAGGGAAATGGTCTTGAGGTATTTTGCAAACCACACACTTCTCATGGAGACCAGTTCCCTTGAGTATGCCTTTCACATGCTACCTAAAATTGGGGATACCTAAAATTGGATTACGGAATAGTGTCCTGTGTCGGGCCTGTTTCACTCAGCATGTGTGTTCAAGGTCAATCTGCCTTATAGCGTGGGTCAGAATTCGCTTCCCTTTGGCGGCTGGTCCCTGGTATGTCTGAGCAGACCACCTTGCATAGGTCCCATCGTCTGCTGACGGGCCTCGCCTTCTCTGGAGAAGCATTCTGGCCCAGCAAGTGCTTAGATGATGGCGATCGTTTATTGCAATAATCTTAATTCCGAACGTGCGGACCAGTGGCTGAGCACTAGGTTGCGGAGTAAGGAAAACATGGCCATAGCAGGGGAGGCAGATGTAGGCTTTTGTGGGGAGACCCGTGGCAGTCGGGGTTGCGTGGGGTGCCATGGGTGCTGTGAGCGCTGTGCCTTGGCTTCCCCGGGAGAGACGGCGGCTCAGTCTTGAGGGATGAGCCACCGGGAATGCCTGCCATGTGTCCTTCATTCGCTCGGCAGAGGAGCTACAAGGGGATCTGAAACCACTTAATGTCCATGGGAGAAGGAGCACGGTCCCAGGCTTGGCTGGGCTCCGATCTGGCTTCCCCACCTACAGCTCTGCCTCCCCCAGCCGGGGCCTGCGTGTCCTCGCCTATCAAACGGGTGTGATGATCACACCTGTGGCAGAGGCTTTTGTGCGATTCGACCCGTCCATACCCGCAAGGCGTTGTGAGCCATGCCCTGAACGCAGACAGTGTTGGAAACAATAGCTGTTACTCCTCCCGGGGGTGGGGGCGTGCACATGGGGCTTGCGGAGGCTGGAACAGGTCGTGCAGGGCCTTCAAGGTGGCTGCACTTGCTCAGATGGTATCTGGAGGCACAGGGGGACCAAGGACGGGTTTGGAAGAGGCTTATGAACCTTTGTGGCGGGTGTGACCTGGAGGACATCTTACCTGCTAGGACTTTCCCTCAGGCTCGCAGGAAGCTGGTCATGCTGTCTCTGCTTAATGACCTTGAGCTTTTCTCCTCAAAAGCATCTCTTTTGTTATTGGCCTGTGCCAGTTGTTGCTTAAGGGCTGTGATTTCATGACTGTCCACTTCCCGCCTTTGGACAAATCCCCGTGACTTTGCTGGGCCTCAGTTTCTCCATCCGATGGTGCTGGGCTGGCTAATTCCTAAGGGTAGTCCCAAGCCCCTATGCACTGGGATTCTGGGGCTCCTGGAGGGTGGCGTTTTACTCATGGACACACACCGGAGGTGGAAAAAAAGGGGATAGCGAAGGAGAAGGGCTCCCTCTCATGTCTCTTGGGTCCCTGGACCAGGAGAGGAGACCCCGTGAGAGCCCTCTTCCTACGGACGTGGCTTTCATCAGCTGCCATTTGGTGCTTTGTGTCTCTCTCGCTGGCACGAGTAGAGCAGAGAACTAGGGATGGAGACTATGGACCCAGCCTAATGCGTCCTGATCACTTCTCCAGCTGCTTCTCCCTTCCCTCCCAATTATGAGACTGCTGGGAGAGGTCCTTTCATTCCAGAGTGGGTCAGAGTCCTCTGGGGGAATGAGCTGAACTGAAGGAACCAAGATATTACTGGAGACAGAACTCAGTTCAGCCAACGAGAGGCCGGGGAGGCGTGGCCCACCAGCTACGGACGCATTATTGTTCACTGTCCGTTGGCTAATTTCTTATGTGATCTTCGGACTTCGAGCTCAAGTTGCAGTTAGTGAGTAAAAATGCCCTTTTTGACATGGACCCACGCCTCGCTCATAACCACCACCTGAAAGACAGGCGTATGTTCCTGGTGGATGACTTTTGACCTATCTTTGGTAAAGGGATGAGAATTTTCTCTGATTAGTTCTGTCCAAGGCCTTTCACATGGAATGTACCATGTCTTGATGACCTAATTTCAAATTCCTTGATGTCCGTCCATCTGTCCCTTATTGCCTTCTTTGGAGCAGTGGCTGACATTGGCTCTTGGAGCTGCTGACATTCTGGAATGCGCGCTTAGACAGGAGATATTTCTAGACACCTGCAGGGTGTTGGGTGTTGGGGAGATGGTGGTGACTCGAACGTGGTCCCTGTCATCATGATGAGAGTTGGTACTTTGATCACATTTTCCCTCTTCCTTTTCGACAGAAACCCCGGTTTCCCTTAGTCATTTCAGGAATCTAATAGAATTCTAAGGCCGTGACTTGCAGACACTCTCGTTACTCTGGACTCCAACTAGCTCATTGCCTGTGTGTTGTTTAGATCGTCTATACTGCATCAGCTTTGGTAGCAATCATAGGACTTTATTAATTATTATTTGGGGAAATATGTTCTATACTAAGAATTTCATATAATGCTTGGAAACCAGATTTCTTTGGGTGAACCTTAAGAGCCAAGACCATCTAGATTCATATCTAACCTAGCACTGAAGATGTTAATAGTTATGCTTAAAACAGGGGAGAAGGGTTCTCTGGCCAGATGCTGGAACATGATACTTACCCCAGCTAGCTTTGGAGAGAGATACTGTGTGTGAGCAGATTAAAGGCTCTGAGAAGTCCTGCAGTAAAGAAACCCATTTGACATTACTCAGCATTTTCTAGATGCTTAATAGTTTTAGAATTTGTTTCCCATCCTCATAAACCCGTTTAATATTCCTCAGAGCCAGCGTTCCACAAAACACCCTGGAAACACTTGTGGAAATGATTTGTTTCAGCCGAAAATGGCCCAATGGCCAATGTAGGTGGTCAGAAGAAGAAATCTGTTATTTGCAAATGCAGAGTTTTGTTTGGCCCAACTTGTTGGCCCCAAACTGAGGAACTAGTGCTCTTCTCCAAGGAAGGAGAGTTCACTCCTGAGCAGAACCTCTCATCAATTCTTGCAGTGAGTCATGTGAAATCTAGACTATTGACTGAAAGGTGGGGGGCGGGCTCCTATGTTTCCACCCTCTCCAAGGATTCACAAGTCAGGACATTGTTTCAGGCTCTTCGGGCAGAATATGCAAACCGCCTGTATTCTCAGACAATCAAGAAGCCATGTCGGGGGCAGCCAGTGATCTGTAACAGGCCGCTGTGACCGTCCTGGCAGGGGCAGGACACTTTGGAAATAGTACTTTGGTTGAACAAAGCATAGAGTGAAGTATCATGTATAACAGTTTGGCTTTTTTTTTTTTTAAAGGAAGATGTAAGAGACGTCCAGATGTAAGAGCAGTGGGAGGAGGGGCAATTTCTGTTCTTTTCCATTTCCTAGTTAACCTACTGGTGCTCAATTTTCTATTGTCGACATACGTTCCCTTTGGAAAAAGAAATATACACATATATAAATAAAAATACATGTATGTTCAAATAGACACATATAAAAAACATGTATACATCTTGCTGAAATGATAGAATGCATAAACCAAGATAAATGTAAGTTGGTGAGTTTGGGTCTTCCATCTTTGGTTTCTCATCGTTCCTTCAAAGTGTGTCCTTTTTTAATCTTTCCAGATGGGCAGCAAATTTGGGAGATGGAAGCTACGGTGGATAAAGACAAGAGCCAGCCCGTAAGCACCTGGACGAGATGACTGAGCGCCCCGTCATGTTCCCCTCCCACCTCCCTTATGCTCTCTTTCCTTCTTTTTTCCCTCCTTCATCCAAGTCCCAGTGCTTTGGAGCTAACAGGCACTCAGTAGGTATTAAATGGACACATCAGTTGAACATATCTTGAGCACCAGGCCCTCTGATTTGTAACCAGGGCATCGTAACAGACTTTGGTAGAGTAAGTGGCAATCCTTTCTTCACCTGCAGCTGGGAGGTCAAGTTCCCCCTAGATAGAATCTCGCCTGTAAATGTACAGAACATGTCTTGACTCCTTTGAGAGGAGCTGGCCTGATGTGCTTGGGGCCTTGCGTAGGAATGTGGGCACTGTTGCAGTTAAGTTGATGATAGCTCCTTCCTTCCAGAACATGCTTTTTGTTGAGATCCCCGAGTATCGAAACAAGCACATCCGTGCATCGGTGAAGGTGAACTTCTACGTCATCAATGGGAAAAGGAAACGAAGTCAGCCTCAGCACTTTACCTACCACCCAGGTAAGGAGTCTTCTCTGGAGGCCCCTTTGGTGTTGAGAGGCAGCCCAGGCATGCGGTAAGGACACATGAGGTCTGCTTCCAGCTGGATGACCTTGGGCAGGTGACTTAACCTCTCTGAGCCTCCATTTCCTCATCTGTCAAATGGCACCTTCCTTATAAGACGTACAGAAATCAAATGCATGTGAAGTTCTTAGCACAGTGCATGGTAAGCAGGTATGAATGATACTGACTAGTGTCTACATTTTTCTTTGGGGGATTTGACGAGGAGGGAGGCACGCTTGGACTTGATCGACAACAGAGTGTTGCAAGGCTGATGACGCCTGTCTGTGCCTTAGATTTGCTCCTGATCGAGGGATTGAACATTCCCCAAAACCTGCAGGGTCCTTAGTGGACCCCACAGTGGGTCGTCGCCCTGTAGCCCCGTGGATTCCTGGGTAGACAGCCAGGCCTGGGGAGTTCTCATTTCCACAAAGCACTACAGCTTCCCAAGGCTGACACAGGACTACTAGCCACCCTTCCAGGACCGGAAACCTATAACGTGAGGCAATCACTCAGCATATAATTGCCATCCTGTGACAGCATCACGTGCTGCCTCTGGGCTGCCAGAAGCAGGAGACCAAGGGGACTGTCCTGGGAGCCCAGGCTTGGCGGGGTTTGGCTTGGGTGGAGGACGTCCAGGGGTTTGTCTGGTCGCTCTGGCCGTCCACCATCCCAGGACTGACGTGACATGCCGTGAGTGTCAGGAGCCTGCAGGGGCCCAAGACTATGGGAGACAAACTCTGGGAAGGTTCTAGACTGCAGACCAATGATCCTTTTAAACGTAGAGGTTTTCCATTGTGTTCCACAGCACTTTCACCTCGTGCTTGTGGTTAGGAGACCTCCCTGGGCCTGGCGTTGGCCCCTGCCCTTCTGAGCATGGCCTGAGTGAGAATTCAGTCCCCCAGGTCAACCAGGGACTGAGATGATGGTCTTTGAAGGGCATCTCGAGAAATGATTCCTGGTTGGTGTCCAAGCTGCCTTTGGCTCCAATGGCCAAACCTCCTTGCTGCCTTGACTTCCTGATGCCTGGCGCATCCCCAGACTTGATTAGCGTCCTGTCCCCACTACATTTGGTCCAGTGAGGAGATAGGGTCCTCAGCTCCTGGCACTGGCAATGTCTTAAGAAAGGATGCTGGAGGAGGACAAGCTCTGGAGACTGTCCTAGGTGGGGAGAGAAGCAGCAACGGCACCAGTGCTGATTGTGGCAAGATGATTATAGTAACAACAGCAAGCATTGAGCGCTTACTGTATGCCAGTCTCTGTGCTAAGTACCTTTCACACATCTCATTTCATCTTCCCAGCAACCCCATGGAGACAGGCAGTGTGCTTGTTACTGCCACGTAACCGATGGGGAAACTGAGGCCCTGGCCAGCAGGTCTCCTTTCCCCCACAATACTACAGGACTAAGGGGATTGATCCACCACCATTTGGTCATTTTCTTTTTCCCGAAAACATCTGAGTGTCAGTTGAATGATTAGTGCTGTTTTAGGTGCTTAGGGACACAGCATTGAACAAAACAGACTGGAAAAATCCTCCCTTTCAGGAGCCGACAGTCTAGCGGGGGCGGGCTGTTCAGATAATAAGTTAGCACAAGAAAGATACAGAATATTTCAGGTGGTGATAAACATTACCAAGGACAGCAAGCCTGGAAGGTGGGTGTGAACCGCTAGGGCAGAAGGACGAGGAGGATATAATTTTCAGTCAAGCCTTCCTGTCCAAGCTCTGCCCCTGGGAAAAGCCTGAGAATGTCCCAGAGCCAAGACAGGGCTGAGACCTACCAGCAGCCTTTCTGCTCCTGGAAAGACCTGCAGTTCCCGATCATCGTCTGGGGTCCAGTTTCTCCCTAAGACAATTACACAGGGAGGCTCTGGTCCAAGGCTAAGATGTGACGGAGCCCAAGAGTCTGCTCCCATCTACTGGGACCCCCAAGACCACGCTCCCTGCCGCAGCCCACTGATCCCGTGTGCACCCCCACAGCTCACTAAGAAGGGTGTACCCCGTGTGCTTCTCTCTCTCTCCCAGTCCCAGCCATCAAGACGGAGCCCACCGATGAGTACGACCCCACCTTGATCTGCAGCCCCGCGCACGGGGGCCTGGGCAACCAGCCTTACTACCCACAGCACCCAGTGGTGGCCGAATCCCCCTCCTGCCTTGTGGCCACCATGGCACCCTGCCAGCAATTCCGCTCGGGGCTCCCGTCCCCTGACGCCCGCTACCAGCAGCAGAACCCGGCGGCCGTCCTCTACCAGCGGAGCAAGAGCCTGAGCCCCAGCCTGCTGGGCTACCAGCAGCCGGCCCTCATGGCCGCCCCCCTGTCCCTGGCGGACGCCCACCGCTCCGTGCTGGTGCACGCCGGCTCCCAGGGCCAGAGCTCCCCGCTGCTCCACCCTTCCCCGGCCAACCAGCAGGCCTCGCCGGTGATCCACTACTCACCCACCAACCAGCCGCTGCGCTGCGGCAACCACCAGGAGTTCCAGCACATCCTGTACTGCGAGAACTTCGCGCCCGGCCCCGCCAGGCCTGGCCCGCCCCCCGCCAGTCAAGGCCAGAGGCTGAGCCCGGGCTCCTACCCCACGGTCATTCAGCAGCAGAGCGCCACCAGCCAAAGAGCCACCAAAAACGGGCCCCCGGCCGGTGACCACAAGGAAGTGTTACCCACAGGAGTGACAATTAAGCAGGAGCAGAACTTGGACCAGACCTACTTGGATGACGGTAAGACGTTTGTTTCTTTCTCGTTGCCCGTAAGGATGGGGACCCCAAAGCATCCCCCCTTCCCCCAGCGGGTTCACTGGGAGCCTGGGTATCGTCCTTCCCGACTTTGGACCTCTGTGTCCCCCTCTTTAATTTAAGGGGGTTGAAGAAGAGAACCTTTAATGCCTCACCCGACCCTGGGCACGCATCCTTTGTCCCGCAGGACTTTTGGGGCAGCTCGTAAGAGGTTTAGGGTTTCGCTACAACCAGGGCTATAGAAAGAGCAAATGAGGGCAGTTCTGGCCGAAGGAGTGTCCCCCGGGTCATGAACTGGGGTGGTTTAACCACCACCACTGTCTTTGCATTGCCAAGTGGAGACCAAGAATAGACCAACTGAGAGGAAGGAAGGCGAACCTTTTATTCCCATAGAGGAAAAAAGTCCTGCTTCTTGATAGCTCTCTTTTGTGCATTTGGGGGAGGGGAGCATAGAAAGGGAAGGAGCAGGCTTGCTGCAAAGCGGAGCATGAATGGGGGGCTCGCAGGCAGGCTCCGGGCATATCTGAGCTGGGAGCCCGTGGAACAGAGACGCATTGAGAGGTGGGGAACAGCGGGCTTCCGTTGTGGTGAGCCTGGCTGCTGGGGTGGATGGGCCAAAGGAAAAGACTCAGGGAGGCTTTGTGTGAGTCTGTAGGTGCCTGAGTTTGTGGGCAGAGGGCAGCGCGTCAGGGGGGAGTGGGGGACCCGCTGGAGGGTCAGTCTTGGCAGAGTGGCTGTGTCTGTCACTGGGCAGTGACCCTGGTCTGGGATCTCAGGGAGGAGGGGCCAGCTCTGCTGGAGGACTCCCCTGGGATCTGCCAGGTGCCGAGAGGGTGGGGCCAGCAGAGTAACCCCCCCCCGCCCCCACCCCCTCCCCCGGGAGCACCAGAGTCAGGAAAACAGGTGGTGTGAGTTTCTTAGTACAATGAAAACCTACACCACCGGCAGCTTGGGCTTCACCTTTTACAGGCGGCAGCATCTGATCTACCCCGAAATGTCAATTATTGCAGAAAATTTACACTCGGGAACCCAGCCAAGTGATAGGAAATAAGGCCAAAAACTTCAGAATGGCCACGATGGTTCTCGTAAAAACCAGACACCAAGTATCACTTTGGCGGCAGGCATCCTCTGGTACTCGCTCAAAGACTACTGACTTTTCCTTTTTTTGCAAAGTTTTGACAATCTGGGTGATCTGTGGGTTCGGGGACTTCTGGTAGTTTCTACATCCTCTCGCTAGTAAAACTAGTGATCACAGACTTCCTCCAAGCGCATCAAGCAAAGATGGCTTGGGCCACTTAGAGAGTCAAACTGCCCTTGCCAGGCCGAGCGCTGGGTGTGGCCATGTTAATAATTGATCTGTCTCATCCTGAATGTTCCAGACACAGGTTGGGGGAGGGTCACTGTGCTCAGTTGTGAAAGGGAGACCCACGTGCAATCTATCCTTGAACAACTTACACTCCAGAGGGTGGAGATAAAATTTTGGTTGCTTATTTGAAAGGGGGCTGTCTTGCAGAAAATCCGTTTCATGCAGAATGCCTAATACGAGCGGATAAGTGAGATGTGGCTGTAACCAGACCGTTCTCCGTGCACGCGCTTGGGGGGTGTATCAGGGATGAGGTGTTTTCTAAGTAACTGATGCCTGAGCAGGCCCAGGTAACATCCCCCCCACCGACTCTGTGTCTGGTGGTTGGTTTGGTCTCCCAGAGCTGCTCAGGTGCTGGCGCCTTCCACCTGTCTGTCTTTCCACCTTAAAGACAAATGGTAAGGGTCTCCTTTGGAGATGGCGACTTAGTCCGTGCCTGGGCTCTTAGGGATCCGTCAGTATCTAGGTGGTCATGACTCTCCTTCGAGGGTCCATCATGGCCCCAGACTCACAGAGGTGCTTCCTGTTTTCATAGAAGTCTGAGTTGCGGACAAAGCAGCAGATGATGGCAACCTTTAGGGCCTCCTAAATGCCTTTCTGGACACAGGCAGGTTCAAAGTCATGGTGAAAGTGAGCTCTTGGCAGATCAGTAACATGAGTCAGCCCCTAAGGATGTTTCGGAGAACTGCGTGTGGTGAAATTGCTTCTCCTGTTGGAGCCTTTTCTTAAGTACTTTCTGTACAAGCCCAATTCCATGGGATTTTTAGGAGATGTGCTCTGAAGTGAAGGTTCTGTGTCTTAAAAAGGTGAAAAAATTTCTGTAAAACCAAGTTTTTTTTTTTTTTTTTAAATTGTTTACTGCAGGACTTCTCAGTGCCTTTACTGCACCTGTGGACATTATCAATCTCTAAAACAAAGGATGTAGTGCTTCCCAGAATTACTCAGCCACACGCAAGAGAAGTACAACTCCAGGGGTGCTGTTCACACTGCATTTTATATTCTGTGAATGGAATCCTGGGGTGGTTCCACAGGGCAGGCCTGGAACCCCTGTTCCCCAACATTCTGGGGAAATAACCTTGAGGGAATTTTGGAGTTCAGAAGCCCAGCACTGCCCCCATCCCATACACCTGTGTTCATGCTTTTGAGTTCTTTGGTTTCATGTGGGGCCAGAGCAGGACAGGGCAAGAAAATAATTTCTACCTGTGTGGCTTCCAAAAGGCAGCAAGGTGGCTGCTAGGTATGTCCAGTGCTTGACCAGGAGTGTCCCCCAAGACTCTGAGCAACGCAGGATGGGCCAGTATGGCCAGATGTGCCCCCTGTGGGCCCCAGACAGTATCACCACTGCAGCTCCCAGGACGGGGGTGTGCCCTTGGTTTCCCAATTGCTGGGATTTCAGACCCCTCCAGTGGAACATTCTCAGATTCCACCGTTGGCTTCGTGGATGTGGGATTCCAACTTCTCAGTTGATTTTGCATTGATTTCTGGCAGACAAACCGGAAATCCCTGGGTCATTTCTCTATCCTGGTTGGGAGACATCCCAGGTTGAGAAGCCCATTTTCTGTGCCTTTCTTGGATTACACCGGGGGGCCTTGCCCACGAAGGCCACACCTGGCAGCCCAACCAGGAATCAGCGTGTGCTTTCAGTGTGCGGGGATTTCTCATATGCCCTTCGAGAGAGCGTGCTTGAGTGTTTCAAGGGTCAAGGGAAGGTTCCTTGAGCTGGAAAAGGAAGGGGTCACCCGCAGACTCGGGTCCAAACACAAACAAATCATCTTGCAAGTTGAAAGTGCCACTCGGCTGTGATCCCTGGGAGCCCCCACATTTGGGTGTCCCCCTGACCCTTCATGCATGGTCCGGAGTGTCCCGCACGGGCGTTCCCCCTGACGCCGTCATGTTGCATTCCTGCACGTAGACTGTCTGACTGGGCCCCACTTTTTCTTGGAACTCCGAAAGGCAGCTTCTGCTTTCCCTCCTCCAAGGACTTGAGACATTTTCAAAAAGTCTCATTTTGAACTGGCAATGGAAGTGGGTTTCCAGAGCCACGTGCGTCCCCACTTGTCCCTCTCCCTTTCCTCCTCCCACAGCAGGCTCTTAACATAGTTCTTCGGAAAGGTAGGCTTTGCCCATGCATTCCCTTGTCTTTTCTCTGTCTTCTTGTCCCTAGAACTTCCTTTTCTGAAGTCCCTGATTTTACCTGGAAAACACCAGCAGTGAATGAATCCTTCCCTCCTTCCCTTCCAGCCTCCAGCCTCTTTCCTGCTGGTAGGCTTCCCTCCTTCCTTCTGTCTCCTCCATCCTGACCCTCCTGCCCTCCCCCTGCACCTCTCTCCCACTCCTAGGTAGTGACCGGTTACACTCTGTGCCCGGCACTGTTCTGGGACTTGGGTACACAGGCGAACAAGTCAGATGAAGTCCTTGTCGTGGGGTAAATTTTTGGTAAAGAAGACAGACATTAGTATGTAAGGTAATAAGCGCATTTACGATGGTGGTGAAAGGCCCTGAGGGAAATTGCACAAGGATAGGAGTGAGAGTGTGGCCAGATGGGGGTGGTGTTGGCCCCTGAGACCCAGTGCACAGAAAGGCTGATGTGGGGAGGTGGGGACAGCAGGTGAGGGCGGGGACAGCAGATGGGGATGGGGACAACAGATGGGGATGGGGACAGCAGGTGGGGTGGGGACAGCCTGTGGGGTTGGGGACAGCAGGTCGGGGTGAGGACAGCAGGTTCTGGCCGCTAAGAGGGCAGAGGAATGGGCCAGCATTGGCCGGGTTTTTCGCAGTGCCATAGGATTTGATTTACCTTTTGAAAAGGTGACTCTGGCTGTGTTTGGAAAATGGGCCACAGGGAGGCAGGAGTGGACCAACAGGGGCCTTGCTTTGTTTTGGACGAAGCCAGATACAAACAGTGACAGTCTCACAGCAGGTTATGGAGGGTGGCGCATTTTACAAAAGGTTGCCTTACGTGTCCTCTCATTAGTGCGATTATTTAAAATGTGGCTGAGATTGTCAAGACGGGGGATTAGTTCCAAAGTAGCGCTTGCTTTGCCGGCCTGGAACAACGGGGTTGGGGGTGATGCGGGGGTGACTGAGCCCCATCAGCTCCAAGCACTTGGATCTGGCAGGTAGGGAGAGTGTGTGCCGCGCAGGCCCAGGCAGGGGGAGGCGTGGACGGGCTCTGGCTGGGTGCCACCATGGGCACAGTCTCTGCAGAACCAGGGGCTCTCAGGTCACCAGGCCATCTCACCGCAGGCTCTGGGTGGTGGCCCTCTGCCATCCACCTCGGGATTCAGCCACAGATGAGAGGACTCAGGGACAATGGGAGACTTGGGACGCAAAGGAGTTCCTCGATCCCATCCTGGAGATGTCGGGGAGAACGGATGCGGTCTCGGTGATGCTTGAGCCTCCGCCAGCGGCTGGGGAGGACAGCGGATGGCGTGTGCATGTGTGCATGTTGGTGAGTGTCCCTCCAGGTGCCAAGAGCTCAGACCAGTCTGGTTTTGGATCTGCTTCTCTGGCCTTTGTGTGAACTACTTAAGAAATAATTTATTGAAATACATCGAATGAATCTGAATCTCTCACTGCATATTTAAATGTCAAGACCTATGCACGTTCAGAAATGAGTCGC